GTTTGATATAAAAAATGAATGTGTGTTCCACTTTTGTCTTGTTTGATAATCACAAACATTCTACTTTAATTAATTGTTAATTATAATATGTGTGGTAAATATATGATTCTATTCTCTATGAGCTCATACGATTATTATATATGTCATCTTGATATGCCATTGTTTCTATTTTTAAAAAATATGCCCTTGTTTCCTGCTTGTTCGAAAGGAAGTTTTGTTCCTTTATTAACATATCAAATACTCAATTGAAGTTGATTTTCTTTGTTTTTATGCAGAACTAAATGAAGCATTGAGATCTAGAATCAAGAATCTAAAACTTGCTAACCTTAGTTCCTCATCTGGCTTACATCAACAAATGAGCTTAGCTGGTGGCCAGTGTTCTAATAGTGGTTTACACCAACATATGAGGTACCAAATGCTTTGATTAAAATGAATTAATTGTATGTCAAAGTTCTATCTCAACAAGAGGGCTCACAAATGGCTAATGTATGTGCCTTATTATATAGGAATGATGTGCATATGAGCTCGCATATGGTTCAGCTGGAGCAGCTTGAAATACAGGAACAATCTTTAGAACATCAAGAAGATAAGGCAGCAAAACAACCACAAGAAAATAAATATCAGTTCAAGAACCAAGATCCATTGTGGGACTTGTAATAAACTTCTTTTATTTTTCAGATTCAAATAATGCGCCTTCTTCTCATGATGAATCCAAGTTATGTAGTCCTTCATGAAACCTCGGATTACCAAGTGCGAGTTGACTAAGCATGTTCTTGCAGTCACTACATAGACATTGAATTTCGGTTAGAACTCTGAATCATTGCATGCTTTTTTCTCGGCAACTTTAATGAATTTATCAATTTCAACATGGAAAATTAGCTTCCATCTTAATGTACCGTACATCCATGATACCCTATCCATCTTTAAGCATATTGGATAAAATTGAAAATCAAATGAAATATTTAATATTAATTTCAAACCCCTATAAATATGAGAGGCAACATATAAATCCACAATTAAGAAAAATAATTTGTAAGAAAATACAATCGTGGCAACAATTTTAGTCACTCCTAAACTTAATTGGCATACAAGGAGAGAAACTAGTAGACTATCAATATCATGAGCTTGTAGGTAAACAATGAGAGAATCTATGTCGTTCATTCCCTACTCAATCTACAATCTAAATAAAATTGTTCAACTAAACTTGAACCATGTCCAAATAAATAATACACTCACTACTACAGATGTGACATTCACTGCTGCCTTCATCACTGTTGGTTTTTAAGAAACCGACAGTGATAGTGCCTCCTGGCACATCACTACCGGTTTTTTGATATATCCGACAGTGATAGGACCAACCGACATTGATATTGGGTCATCACTGTCGATTTATAGATAAAATGACATTAATACTATCACTGTCAGTTCGAGTCAAGAACCGACACTAATATTGGGTCATCACTGTTGGTTTTTGAACCGACAGTGATATGGTACAAGAATACTTTCGCGCGTGTTTTCAAGTGCTAGTGGTTGCGAAGCACGTGTTTTTCGAGCGAAAAATCCCGTGACTTGTGACTTGCGACGCGTGACCGAGTGGCTGTCTAGTGGGGTCTCTCCCATTTTTATGATTTCCTGGAAACCACATCAGTGTCAGGGTTTTGAACCGATAGTGATGTGAAGAACTGGGGTAGTGACTCTAACCTCTCCCTACCTAGGTAGTATGTATTCACAAATCAATTCATTAATGTAACTAACAAAATATTAAGAATTTTATAATTAAAGCGAACAACTTGCAAGGAAGTAGTTACCAACAATCAATATACAATTCAACTCATAAAAGGAATTATTTTAAACTCTTTATGTCTCTCCATGCATATTTCTAGCTAGATGACTAAATCTAGATCCCAAATCCAATACCCATCCAAAAACTAACTGGTAGACCCTAAAAATCATGACATTGGGGCTAAGTAATTAGTTGGAGAATCTAGTTTTGATCCCCTAGTCAATTTACCCAAGGAAATCAAAATATTTAATCTACTTTCTTGTCTGCCACACCACCATGCATGGAGAGGGAAAAACCAAAACCTAATTAAGAAAATAATGTAGCACTAAATTAGATTGGCCTAAACAAGCCTTGTAGAGTCACCTAAAGGAAATCAATAGCAAAACTCCCCCTAATAAGATTTGCAATTTTATGGTTTCTCATGAGAACTCTCCACTCTCCAGGACATTATTCTTGTAACGTGTACTCCTCCAAACACCTTGACAGGATATATACTCAGGTCCCATTTCCATTCCTGTAACTTTTTTTTTTCCATTTGCTACTTACTTTAACAGGGGAAGCCCGGAAGACTTGGTTGACGAACGCAACCGTCGTGCAAGACAGGAAGACGTGGACCATAAGTTGCTTCAGTTGCACTTGGATTTTTTTTTTAGCAAAGTTGCACTTGGATTTTTTTTTTAGCAGATGCACCTGGATGTATAGTGGCGCGCGCTGTTTTGAGGTTCAACCCACACAGCCCGGCCCATGCATGATGGAAATGGGCCGTAACGGACATACTTGATCCTGGCCAACTGAACTGTACTCTCACCATGCATGTTGGTATTATGAGTAAATTTTTGTGCCACCAATTCCTCTTGCACCTAGATATATACACCATGTCTGTATGTTTTTTTAGATAACGGAATAACAACATGTCTGTATGTAGATACATAGTAAAAATTATTTATGATAATGCTACAAACAGGACGTCCAATGCCAGAGACTCTCTCCGCACGAATGTGTGGCGTGACGTGCACCACAAGTTTGACTCTTTCCATCTCTTATTCTCATCCGGACACTGCTTGCTCACTCAGCTTGGCCTTCTCCCACCACCACGACCCTGCACCGCTCGCTCGCTCCTTGCTCCCACGCTGTCGCGCGCCCCACCTGGCTGCTTGCTCCTCTCCCCCGCCCGTCACGCGCCCCACCAGCACCTCGCTCCTTGCTTTGGTTGTACGCCGTGCCACCAGCTCCCTCTCGTAGCACACGCCGCCCACAAGGCTAAGCCAAGGCCGGTGCTAGTGGTGCTGGCTGGTGGTGAGGCTCGAACGTACTGCGGGCCGGTGCTGGGTGCTGGTGGTGCTCGTGCGCCACCGCTTGTCGTCGGCTCCGACCCCGACGGCTCGAATCGATCGGTCCAGGCTTCCCCTCTCCTATGTTACAAATGTATGTTTCAGGTGTTTCAGTCGTTTTAAAGGTATGTTGCAGTTGTTTCTTATGGATGTTGCAAAAGTAGATCGGGGATGTTACACATGTTGCATATGTTGCATGTGTTTCAGAGGCATGTTGCAAGCATTTGTTTAAAGTGTTTCATCTGTTCCAAATGTATGTTACAAGCGTTTTGATCCGGATGTTTGCATATGTTTCAACATATGTTGCAACAACATGTTTCATATGTTTTATCTGTTTTAGATGTATATTGCAAGTCTTCTATCTAGATGTTGCATATGTTACAATGACTATGTTGCAAGTGTATATTCCAAATGTTTCATCTGTTTCAGTCGTATGCTGCAATTGTTTTATCTGAGTGTTGCAAAAGTAGATCTTAATGTAGGGTTGCTTAGTGAGGAAGAGAGAGCTAATGTAGGAGCCATGGCGGCGTCGGCTGTAAACGGGCGGCAGCGCTCCAACGGAGGTCACGCAGGCATCCGCGCTGGCGCACGTGGCCCGTTCTCGTACAACATGCTGCCTCCGCTGGCCCCACCAGAGGTCCTGGAGCAGAAGCTTGTGCCATCTCCCTGCGCGACAGAGATGCAGACCCTAACTATGGAGGTGACGCGGGTGGCCCTGGGCAAAAAATACCGAAAACCGAACCGAAAATACCAAAACCGAAGATTTCGGTTCCTTGTTCGGTTCTTCATCATCAACGCCCACTAAATAATACAGCCCAATAGCCCGCATGAGTCATCTTCACTCACATAACCCTAGCCACCCGCCCACCCCAGCCCCCACTCACCGTCTCCCACTCGCGGTCGCGGACACGCCCTCACACCGCCAGCCCCTACGCGGCCACGCCGTCGTCCACTTGTCCTCGCCCCGGTCGATCCTCGGCCACCGTGCTGCACCATCGTCCGCCACCACCAGCAGCCCAGCAGGGAGGCGCGCCACCTGCCACTGCCAGGCACTCTTCCTCCCCCGCCATGCCACCACTGCTAGCAGCAGCAGCAAGACAGCAGCACCGCGCCGACGCTCCATAACCCCGACAGCGGCGGCGGCGGCGAGCCCTGTGGCTATGGCCTGGGTGCGTCAGCAGTCCAAGGACCGAGCCTCTGGGTGATGGAACAGGGAGCGGCTACGGGCTGCCTGGGTGCTTGTCCTCCCTCCTGTGTAATCTGTTTGGTTCTTTTCAGTAAAAACCGAAACCGAACCGAAAATATCGATACCGAATTTCTTCGGTACTGATTTTTTGAAGGAACCGATCGGTACCAGTTTTTTCAAGGAACCAAATTGCCATAGGAACCGAAGTACCGAACCGATCGGTTCGGTAATACCAAACGCCCAGGGTGAGATCGGCGTGACGAAGTTGAGACCCCTGCGGGCATGGCGAGCGGACGGGCTCCCTTGTTACGCGGGGGTGGCGGATGCTCTATTATGCGGGGGACGTGACAGGGTGTGGCGGAGTTGCGTCCGGACATGGGCCTGGGGCTAGACGTCCGGGCGCTAGTTATTCCAAACTATTTATTTAGAAAACAACTTATAATTTGGAACGAGGGTAACTCTGAGTTTAATTCGACAATCTTGAGTTATTCAGTAATTGACATCAAAGCCATAGCCATATTGTAGATTTGTAGTACACGGTAAATCGAGGTAACCTAAAGCGACATAATAAATATCCCCACGTACACTGTATGCAGCGGTAGCATACAGACACTACTAAGTACAACACTGTAACTAATTAACAACATGCACCCTCAGGCATGCAGGCGCATGCATGCATACCGATCGATCACACCTGTGGCTACTCTTCATCGTCGTCAATGTCCACCTGGACCACCTTCTTCCTTCTGCCGCCGGCGCCGGCGCTGCTCCCGTCACGTGCGGCGTCCATGGCAGCGGCAGGCTTCTTGCGGTAGGCCTCCTCGTAGCGCCTGGCGGCCTCGGCGCCGCGGTCGGCGAGGTGGCGGATGTTGGGCACCTTGTAGTTCTGCGCCGCGTACACCCCGACGGCGGTGCCGACCAGGAAGGGGAACAGACGGCGGAGCAAGCAGCCCATGACTTGTTGAGCCTTCAACTATGTTAGTATCTGGATCACTCAGCAGTAGCACGGCGCAAACAAGCAAATTAAAGAGCTGGCTTGGCTATCGATGGTGAGTGATGATGATGACTGATGACTGATGAGTGAGTTAGATGGCAGTTGCAGTAGCCTACGGCCCATTCGTATATATATACTTGCAGGCCAGCTAGCTAGACTTGGCTTGCTTGCTTGACCTGATTACCTGAAGCATCAGCTAGCCTTATATCTTTTGTTTTGACTTTGTTTCTTGGACAAGGGTGCAAGAAAGAAGGCGTGTGAGCAACGTACAACTACAGCTAGCTTGGTCAGAAATTAATTAAAGGAATACTACCTTCGTCATAAAGCGATGCATTTCTAAGTTTATAGATTGAGACAAGTTTCTTTAATCTAACTATTTTTTTAGGAAAAATGTTAGTATTAATATTTATGACTTCAAGTAGTTATACTATGAACATATATATTTAATGGTTAATCTGATTATATATATTGGATATCATAAACGTTAGTAATTTTTTCTTGCACCCTTGTCCAAGAAAAATGCATTTCTAAGTCTCTAGACTTTAAGTAGTGCACTGCACATCCATAAACTTATAAAATATAGTGCATTGTAGGTCCATTTGTGGACCATAAAGACCACTGCGGTGCACCACTTAACAAGTCTAGGGGCCTTGAAATGCAATTTCAAAGTTCGTGGACCAAAGTGGCACAAGTTCAGAGACCACTCATGGATTTAACTCATGATGATATATATCAACAATACGATACCATACCATACATTACATATAGACATGCAGTGCTCGATTATTATTACTATAATGACTTGTGAGACAGAACATGATACGCCTGGTGGCTGGTGCTGCCAGATGATTCTTCTACTAACAGAGTAACAACGCGACACACAATCCTGAATCCATCCATGAAACTAGCTAGAATCGATTCGTCCGAAAACTCCTCGGATTTGTCTCCCTTCTCCTTCTCCTTGCCGCCCTTTTTGGGGCATCTCTTCTCCTAGGCCTTCTCCTGGGCGTCATAGTACTGCTCCCTCTCCCGGCCGGTCTCCGGTGCCGGTGACTCGCCTGCGCCGTCGACGGGGCGGCGGCGGCGGTGGCAGGAGCAGGAGTGGAGCTTGTGGAGGGGGCAGCGGCTGTTGCGGATGCTCGTCATCGCCGCGCCGAAGCCTGTGCCGGCCAAGAACGCCAGGCCGTACTTGTACAACGCCATGGATTAATTGATTCCACAGGGGAGGGGAGTTCACGAACGCTGGTGATTCAGTTGCTAGCTCTCTGTGAGTTGTGCCTCTGATCTGAATCTGACTGATGAGCAGAACAAGCCAGAAGCGCGGTTTATATATATACAGGAACGCCGATCACTTTTCTGTCACGGTGAGCGGGCAAATTTGGTCTCTCCTCTTACTAGTCGCTCATGCTGACTCGTGGAATACAGGGTTTGCCTTTTGCAATGACGTGCCCTGACTGAACCAACCTGATTCATTCCTTGCATTGGACAGGTGTTCTAGAAACAAGGCAAGGAATGAAAACGAAAGAGTAGTGTAACAATAAATCGGACGCTTAATTAATCCCTATGTTCTAGAATACAATGAATCCTAATAAAGTGGTTACAAGACGCGACAACACACGAAATGCATGGAGCATTCATGTATGTACATGTTGCATTCATGTTGGTTGCACCTTATATTTTTGTTATGCAAAACTCTCAAAACATGTTAGACACTGATTAGAATGTTTTGAGAAATTCCAAGATTTTTTTTACATTTTTCTCTTTTTTCCAGAGATAAGTTTATTTTTTTAGCTCATAGATATTTTATTTCGATTTTCTCTATGGTTTTTTCTCAGAATTTTTAGAAACTTAGAGACACTATTTTTTGGGGTTTTAAACCTTATGGAGTATTTATTGAATTTTTTTAGTAATTTAAAAAAAGATAAAACCGTCTTCAAAAGTCAAAACCACTTCAAACCAGGCTAGGAAGATAAATTTAACGATTTTAGGAGTTTAGGGAGTAAGATGTTAGTTTTACAACTTGAGGAGTTGAGGAGAAAAAATAGACTACAACTATAATTTCTAATAATAAGAGGGTAAAATGATTTTTCTATCTCTCTTGATATTTCTGCTTCAAAGCAGTTCTTAGAGGCCCAAACGACTTTTCGGTGTGGGCTGAAATTCCACTAATATTACACTTGGTTTGGGCTGGATAGTAGTTGGGGAAAAAAAGGCCGTGTGACTCCGCGGGAGGTTCGCCCCTCACGGTGGCGAGACGTCGGATGTCGATGGTTTGATAAACATCTCCATCAATGATTTTTTACATACGTTTCTTCTCGATGGTTTATACCTGGATATGCATTAGTTTATATAATGCATAATAAAGGGATAAAATTACTGTTGGAAAAGATTGTACCAATTCAGCATAAAGGCTGTGGTCAAGAATTTGAAAGCCTCATAGGTGATTTTGCAGTGAGACATGATGAACTATATGGACATCGCTAAGCTAATCAATAGGAAAAAATCCGTAATTTAGCAGATAATATATCTATAATCACCATTGGAAACTACCACCTATATATGAAGAAAACAAAACAAATCCATTGTGTAGTAGCCATAACATCAAAGAAACACAAATAAATATAACTAGGCAGGTATAGATTTAGCCGGCAATCCAGCATCGGAGACCCGGTGTGAACGCTGACCTGATAAAAGAAGATGCAAAGAAGCAAAAAGGATTAAGGGCCTATTTAGATATATGAGATAATTGCTAGCTAGCTTAAAATTAACTAAAATTAGCTCTAGTGCATCTAGCAGGAAAGCTAATAAGTGCATTAATTCTTTAACTAAGTCTTTAACTAATTGTTAGCCAAATAGCTAATAAACCACACTAATTTGGACTAATTTTTAGCCCCAAGTACTGACATGTGTATCCAACATGCTCCAAGTCTGAAAAGATAAGATATAGGGTTAACTCCAATTTACACCCTCCAACTTGCAGCAAAGTTCGGATTTCAACCTCGAACTTCAAAACCGGACAACTTTGTCCCTCCAACTCTCGAAAAAGTTCAACTTTCAACCTTCTGGGCGGTTTTGCGGGTGAACAGTAACTTTTGATATTTTCGGGGCCGCATATTTTTTGAAAATTTTATATTACAAAATTTTTCACGAGCATCTTAACGTCCTCAAATGAAAAAACTCAAAACTACAAAGTTATAGATCTCGGATGAAGTCTACAATTTTTATATAAAATTATCTTCATACGATGATCGTATAAGTGAAGGGTTTTCTATTTTTTAAATTTGAGTCTCATCACTCGATAAAATATATGCTAAAATTTCAGCATTATTTTTTAGCATCTTGATGAGTCCTCAAATGAAAAAAACTCAAAACTACCTTCAATAGATCTCGGATGAAGATAATTTATATATAAATTGTATCTTCATCGATGAGATCTACAACTTTGTAGTTTTCTATTTTTTGAAATTTGAGGACGTGACAAAATGCTCGTGATGAAACTCAAATTCAAAAATAAAATATAAAATTTCAGCGCTCCTGAAAATATCAAAAGTTACTGTTCACCCGCAAAACCGCCCAGAAGGTTGAAAGTTGAACTTTTTCGAGAGTTGGTGGGTCAAAGTTGTCCGGTTTTGAAGTTCGAAGTTGAAATCCAAACTTTGCTGCAAGTTGGAGGGTGTAAATTGAACTTAACCCTAAGATATATATAGAGGATGAGATGCAAGAGGGGAATTTGGGAGGGGAGCCAAGCTAGCACCACTCAAGTACCTAGTCTAGCGTACGGCTGTACAGGCGGCGCCGCTAGGTCGGTCGGCTCCAGGTAAAATGAAGTGGTTGGAAAAGAATGGTAAGGTAGAGACAGACCTGCTGGGCAAGAGCATGAACATCAAGGTGGTGGCGGGTAGGGGTGATAAGTTGAGAAGGGTGACGCCGGATTGGGATGCTGTGATGCGTATAGCACGATGATGTGCTGCTGACTTGGCGAGGGACTCCATTGCGTAGCGGTCGATCTGAAACGCAAAGACACTTGAATATTTAGAAGAGGTGGAGCGAGTTTGGAGGAGGAAGAGAATGGAGCAAGAGCAACAACCGGTAAGCAAGAAATAGAAAAGGCTAGCTTGCCTCGCACTTCCAAGCTTGGGTGAGATCCACCCATGCCATGGCGTGGCGGCGCAGGGAACAAAGACGACATGACTCAGGCGCGCAGGAAGGTCGTACGTTACGGAGGGGAAAGTGAGGTTCCATTTCAAATGCTCCAAGCCACAAGTGCCGAACGAAATATTAGGTGATTAGCGTAGTACTTTTACGAAGTATTTGGACTAGTTATTAGTGCTTTGCTCTAGGCTTATCATTGTTGTATACTAGTTAGAGGCTTCTAGTCTTGTGAGATTACACCAACTGCGTTTATGGTGTGGCCACCTATCTTGTACCTAAGGGAATGTGTGATCCGTAGCATTTTGGCCGACGTGTTCATTTCCTCCTAATTAGTCTTCCCCATTGGACACCGAGCCGACGTGGTTTCTCACATGACAAATGGTTTCCACTCCTTTTCATCTCTCTCTCTTTCTTAACTTAGATTTTCATATCATCAAAAAACCTCACATGGCAAGTTATTTGATGCTATGAAAACCATATCTGATTTTAGGTTGGAACAATACTAATCCATATAATAAATACTATATGCTACGTAGTACTTCCTCCGTCTAAAAAAATAATTTTAAGTTTTAGAACATGTTAATTAAAGTATTATAAATTGGACCAAATTTAAAATAAATAATACCAACACTAGTCTATCAATCCGTGCTCTCGCAGGGGCTAGAATTTTAGGAGATATAAGTATTAGTTATTGTTTAATTATCCCTTCATTCCAAAATATAAGACATTTTGGCTTTTCTAAATATATTATGTTTACTATGTATCTAGACTTGTACATGTATCAAAAGCTATGTAATTAGAAAAGTCAAAACGTCTTATAATTTGGAATGGAGGGAGTACATCCGACTACTGAAGAATTACTTATATTAAATTGTATGTTTTCTCTTTGTTTATTTTATAACATAGTAGACATATAGATACTCTGTAGTCTATATATAGTTATCATAAACTTATTAATTACTATTACTTCAAGGAACTAATCTATATATTTTTATCGATATTCATATTTTTTCTTTGCATGGCACCTCTATATATTTTAAATATGCAATTACTTTGAAACCATACAATTGATTATGGTGGCTCTTGTTACACCATGTTCATCTATCTTATGTAGTTCTGAATCTAAATTTTGTTTTTTCAAATTTTATTCTTATCTAATGCTATGGATTTTTCTCTCTCCTCATGTTAATATGAAACTCTTGTGCTTATTGTATATTTCATTGACTCTCCTTTTTGCACTTTTTACAAATAAGAATTTTAGATCATAGAGTATGTTCTTAAGTACTGCAATAGCATACGCCATTATTTGAAGCATGCACCATATTGCATAAGATAAGTCATAGAGCTTGAAGTGAGATCTTGGATTGGGTAGCAGTGCTAACGTCAAGAGAATTTTAATACTTATACTTTATAATGAACAATTTTTACTATAAAGTGTTTTTAATGGGCCAGAAAATATAACCACCCGGGTTCTTCCACACTTCTCAAGATATGAGTACTAATCAATATCTGTTAGTTTTAAATAATCTCTATAACATATATATGTATTTTATAGCTCATGCATGCTGGCACCACCCATATATTTACTTTAATCAAATCTTACTATACTAATATTGATAGAGGCGGGGTAATGTAGTAACATATACATGACCTATTTGTTATCTAAACATTTTTTTGTAATAGGAAATAATTTAGATGTTGATTTGGGGGTATTTATTTTTCTAATAGTTAGATGAAAATTGAGTTACGTAATTTATCAATCATAATTAGAGGATGTCGGTACTGAATAGCAAATTTAGGTCTACTTTAGATTAGGCTTTTTAATGACATATGTGGGTAACATAAATTAGAGTCATTTATATTGTTTTACACGATAGCACAAATGGATAGTTATTTAGAAAATAGAATAGATCTAATAGCTATTATTATTATTGATGGTAAGATGTTTCTGACTTTTATGAGAATTTCTAAAATCTATCTTTTGTTTTCAAATCAAGTCTTGTGAGGATTAGCATGCAAGCTCTAGTGGGGACCTCTAGTTAGAATTTCTA